AATTTTAAAAAAGCGTAAAATAAGCCAAGAATCAATTAAATACTCCGTTATGTACTTTCATGTTCCGCTGCTTACGAGCTGGTTGGCTGTGCGTTCAAAATGGTGTCACTAGGAACCCATCGCTTATAGCCTCAATGAATTCTATATTTTGAGCACGAAATGTGCGTCGCGATTGTGTGCTGTGTGGCGATGCAGTGTAATGCGTATATCCGGCACACCGGTGCGTTCAGCCAAGTTAACTACGACTTGAAGACTTTATCTGAACTTACATTTTCAAACTTCATAGTGTGCAGTCATCCTTATTATTGGAAGAAGTTTCCAGCAGGTAAAGATTTAGTTTATTTCGTTATGTCTTTACTTCCTCATTCTTTCCTTTTTATCAATTTCTGTCTATTTTAATAATTTTTGCCTTCTTTGTTTCACATATTCTTCTCTTCCCACTAATTTTCTTTCCATTCTGTGTCCGTTTTCTCCCTGTCCTTACTTCCCTCTACCTTTTCTTTCTTCCTTCTTTTAATTCTACTTTTCATTCCTCTTTCTTTTCTTTATGCTTTCATTGTACCTTCCATCATACTTGTACGTTTATTTAACTCTCTTACTACCTACTGCCATTCCTTCTCTTTTCCTTTATCACTTCTCTGTGTCTTCCCATACCACTCGGTAGAATCGACTTGGTTTTGCTCTGAAATCCATACGTCATTCGTCTCCAAGACCGATTTTAAAATTGCATTTGTACACACTGCACGGTCTTCCTCGCCTATGCAAAGCTGATAGGATAAAATATAGTCCTGAACTTGAATCAGGGTATAGAACATATATCACATTTTAACTGAAAAAAAATGTATAAATTCACATTTTAATTAAGCATTATAACGTGAATTATGTAAATGTGTGTTTGAAGTAATGTGTATCTAGCAGAGAATAAATATTTAAAATCCTAGATAACGGTTTTGACTCAAATTGATAGACCTACATACTTTACTACAATAACTCATTACCATCAACACTTATTCACTGATTTATTGTAAACATAAGAGTTTCGGTTTGCGAATTATCTTCTCCACTTTCCATACGTCACAGTGTTCTGCGTTCGAATATTAAAAGAACAACTAAAAGTTTCGTCATACAACGAGACGGAAGTTGAAGATGGTTGTCTTCTGGGTTGTTGCGTCTTCAGGGCTATCACCTATGTAACGTCGACAAACATCTACCAGACAACACTGCGCAACAACGCATAATATATCCATTTTTATACTTTCCGCCCTGAGAATCTGAAATCTTAAGAGACGAAAATTAATAAAATATTTAAAAATATATTTATGCCATTATCGAGGACACAATAAATCGACATTGACGTGTTATCAGACGAACAAATTTTAGTGTTGGATTTTCACGCGAAATTGCGCAGATATCCTTGTAATTGTTTGGATGAAATGCCCACTCACAGAGACAGACAGGTATTACCTCTCCATCAGGCACTCATAACATGGACTACGAAAAGAAACACAGTTTCACGCTAGAAGTTTCAATTGCGTTGGTAAAAGCAACAATTCTAATTACTGCACACCTTACTTGTTATATATTTTCCCTGTTTATAATGATCTGCTTCATTAGGGATACTCCAGTAGAAACAATTCCGTTTCGTTTCTTTGCGAACAATGTTGGGCTGAAACAAAAACCTGGACAGGTAACAAGACGCTTGTTTCAGAAACTTGGAGAACTTTCTGTTCTCCAGGGGTTAGGAAAAGTCACACAGCTTGGAAAGAAATTCTTCTCTGCAACGGCAGACAACAATTACTATGACAGAAATCATGAATCTGACTCGTATTTTGGAGGAACCTGGTTCGAATTCCGACCAGTTATCCCATAAAGTTATTAAGGAATTCTCTAGAGGCAGTAAGAAGTCGAAATAGGCCAAAAGGTACTTTCTCTCACGTTTATAAGTTTAACATTTATACATTCATCAAAGACACTAATATCTAAGTTCTGTGAAACTGGACATGAGTAAATTGCCACTGGAGATTACAATTTTCTAATATTTTGAAATAAAAATGCCAACATGCCCACTATTGTACGTTCAACGTTAATTAATACACACTCTTGTAACTTCGTCACAAGCGAAATAATAATGAATAGTGATAATTAACGAATATCCGTAATTTAAGCTGCTGAAATCGTAGGGCGACATGACGGAAATACATAAAAAATAGCGACTTACTAATGGTTTTGATACCCAGGTGATTCCATGGCGTCGGATCTTGTTAAAGAAGTTTGTAACTACCCAGTTTCTGGAGAAATGTGCTTTTATGAAACCTAAAGATTCACAGTCGTGTTCACAAGAGCTGGCCACCAGTCCTAGTTCGGAGGCAGTTTAAACTATTCCAGTTCATACCACCATATTTATTTGAAATTCTACTTTTACGAGCCTCTCGATGCCTTATTCTTCAAAACTGCTTCATCTGTTTAGAATTTCCAACTGTAATATTTATATTTATATTTACATTTATTTCTACATGCGTTTCCCACCCTCTTACATCCCTTAATTTGGTCACTTTAATATATTTTATGAATGTAACATATTACGAAGCTGCTAATAATGTTCCATTTCCATTCTCCTATCACGACCTAGTTCATAATTAGTTAACTGGACAAATAACTCCGAGTCTTTCGTGGAACCCAAAGTTTCTTACTGTGTTCACAAGAGTCCGCCACCAGTTCCTATCCTGATCCAGGGGTTTTGCCACCCACGGGGCTGGGTCACTTCCGTGAACTACACCCCTAGGTACACACATAACAAATGCCCCCACTTATAGTTCCAACCGGGATATTTTATTTAAACACTGGGGCTATATCACCCAGGAACTTCCCAGAATACTTATTTCGTTGGGGACTAGCTCTCAGCAACTGTTTCTGCAGGGGCTCTGCCCCACGGGCCACATCTGCCCTTCCTTAGCAACCAGGCATGGACACCCATGTGTTTTCACTATCACGGTTGCAAAAAAGGTCATTGGTGGAAAACACTTCCGCAACAATGGCCTTGGATCACTTTAGTGACCTACGTGATGTGGTGTGAAGAACACAACTTGGTTGTCAGTGTAGGATTACCTCCCTCGCACAGGTGTTTCGAGTGGCCTCTTCCCTTCAGGCTTTCCAATCAAAAATTTGTATGCATTTCTCATCCGTCGCTCTCGGGTCTTCTTCTAAATAAATCTACATGTTATATAAACTGTCAAACCCCCCAAAATTCTTCACTGTATCGGCAAGTAGTTCTGCTTTGTTAGTATTTTGTTCGGCGTGTCCCGACGTTAAACGGCTTTCGTGCAACTTGTTATGTACTTCCGGGTGCCCGGCGTCTGATTTATCACCAGATTCAGAGCAATCCGACAGCACCACTCCGACACTTGGCAGTTAGACCTACGTTCGTGAAGACCTCACTTGGTCGCGTAATTTGAATGAGACAAGTGGCGGGTGAGGGGAAAATTTGTAACCATAGGCCAGACAGTCTCGCCAGAAATATGTGCTTGAAAACTATTAAGTAAATGTCATTTATTCACACTAGTTCAACATAATTTATAGGCGCATCAAAAATATAGAAGTGACTTTAAAAATGCATGATCATAATTCATTTTAAGCAGATAAATAAGCTAATTAGGTCTATTGATTTTTGTGCTCATATGTTTAATTTATTTATATTTCGATGAAATACTTATTTCTCGAATACGAGTATTTCAGTGTAAAAATAATATACATTTAAAGAATTGTAATAAAATTATCAAAGAAATTAACAAAACCTGAAAACGTGTTGATTCCACAAGTGAATAGTTATGAATAGTTATGACTAGTTGTAGATTAAATTAAAACAGTGAACACATATATTAGGGACTCTAAAATAATAATTTACGCCATCACTCAATTTATTTCATCCTAAAATATTTTGTCATTAAAATAATTCCTTAAATCTTCGCACGAGAAAGCGAAACAATGGAAAGGTTTAATATTAATAATGTACGAATTTAAGGGCATATTTTGCCTACAAGCAGCGTCAGCTCTGTTCCTCCGGGCGGTAGATCCCAATTTGAGCCTCGACTATCCCTAATGCAGTTAGAATATTTCTGACGATGCTGAGACGAGATAATACGTGAAACTGATCTTCCGGACCTTGTCCATCGTTTAAAGCTACTTGTGGCTAATTTAGTTATTATGAGTACATTAAAGTTCATAGAAAGGGAAAGGGAAGGGGGGGGGGGTATTTTGGCTGCGGTTGGAACTTCGTCGAAGAGTTTCAGTACAAAAGTACGAATAATCTGCACGTCTCAGGTTACCAGGGAGCGCATGAAGGATTAATGGTTATACCTTCCCGACTGATGAGTGAAGTGGGTCAGTCTACACATCCTTTGTAGCTGTAGGCATACCCCATCTTGAAGCCATTCAATTCGAGAGGTCTATGTATCGATCCTTCCTCCTGGAGCTGTTGGTTCAAGTATTGTACATGGGTGAATACATTTGTTTGCTGTTTACCGTATTCTCGTTACTAAATACAGGGCTGTATAGTAGCATCCTGGTGCGTTCACTTTAAGAGCTCTGTTCGGTCACACAGCCATGTCAGTCGAATCACACTTCTTACACTTACTATGTTTGCGGAAATTGATCACTGTCATTATTCACTCTTTCGATTAGAATATAATCTTCATAAGGCTCGTTATAGTTTCATGTAGTACATGTCATTGCAAAACCATGCAAAGTTTTGTAATTAATGTTTATATTCTATCAGTGTCGGTTAGCGTCTTATTTTTGTGGAAGGGAGCTTTTAATACGACATGTAAAATAACATTTTCAAATTATAATACTTTTTAATATAATCAAACGTAAGTATGAAGAATTTCAGCATCAGTGTAACTGACGATACTATTAAAAATTTCAAATTCGTTTATAGGATACATTAATATACGTCATAATGAATTATGAAGTGTATCAAAACACTTCCTTTTGATTGACTGAAATATGTTAAATGCCTGTTTACCTTACCGGCTGAATGTTAGTCTCTTCCCGTTGTTTAAACACCATCCACTTAAAACAAGAAGGGTCTTCATAATTAAGACTGCCCCGTCTGGCAAGCTTTCTTTCCAGAGCCCCTTTCCACGCCTCACCACTCCCCGCGACAACAACCTAACCCCTCGACCAGGGCACTTCTTTATTAACGACGCATTATAACGACAAGGCTGAAACTGGAAGCTCCTCCTATTTTGCATTCTGGGAAATTAGAAATTTTGAATTAGAAAAATATTCCGTGAAAGACTTATCATGTCATCTATTTATTATATTAGCGTGGAGGCACCGTCAACATATCCAAAACATGATAATATTTAAGTTAGTATTTTAAAAGGTCTAACTGGCGAGCCGCTTCTGCATTTAATAAAATAAGGTAAGATAAGACAACATGCCTGATATTTTTAAAATATTTAATACAATCGTGGTCAAAGTCCTTGTGGTGCTTTATGTACAATCTATTGTGGTATATATAAGCCTATCTGTATTTTGTCGTGTTGTCTACCGGCTGGACTTTGACTATATGAGCAACTGTCAGTTTTACAGAGTATGTAGTCCATAGAAGGAGTTTCTATCATACCACCTTTGCTATTTTTATAATAATAAATCACTCAAAAAATATTTGGCGAACATCCCGCGGGAACACGACATCAGGGAACTATAGAAAAGCGCCATTCTAGGAACATCATTAGAAAGACGCTGATTATATACAATGCCTCACGCGGAATGTGTTTAATGCATGTAACACGTGTTAGAAAACAAAATGTATTTCGGAAATAACTGCTGCATTATGTACCTGAGGGGAAAGGTTTGTATTAGGTACATAGAAGTAAGTACCCTGTAAAATGGTGAATAGATACAACAATAATAAGCAAAAGTAATCCCAATAGTTATATGAGCGACAGGAACTGTCTCCAGGTCGCTCAGGAAATATTTGGCCAACATCCCGGGCAAACACGACGTCAGGGAACTGCAGAAGACCGCCATTTGGGGAATTTCATACATCATCCGAAAGACGCTTTCATAAAATAAAATTATATAATACATGTGGCACTTGCTAAAAATAATATGTATCCCGGAAATAGCTGCTGCCCTATGTACCTCAGGGGCAAGGTTTGTCTCGGGTACATAGAAGTAAATACCCTATAAAATGGTGAATAGATGGAATAATAATAATAATAATAATTTCGGATAGTAACACAACGCATATGGTACGCGAAGTACCAAGTCCCGAAATTTTCTGTTAGGGCGTCAGGAGCAATATAACGAAACGAGTAATCGAAAAAGCGTGGATTGGTTACCGCCACGACACCCCCACAGCCACATGAGAGGAGACTGAGCACAGATTGACACTAGAGTAGAAAAGTGCTTGAACGAATTCACCGAGTGCGCAGTAATTCAGACGAACAAGGGGTGGCAATCGGCATGCAGACGCTGCATTTTTCTGTGAAAAACTGAATGATAATCATTACTCTGGTGCGGCCTTTCCGTATTACTCTAACTGAAATTAAAGAGGGTAATAAATTTTACTGTAAAAATCATTGGGGAATATCACTCAGGCCAGCTTCATACAAAAATATTATCCAACATTCCTCTCCCGCTGTTAATTCTGTATGTAGTATTAGTTACTGGATATTATAAGCATGGATTATTATGTAACAGATCAAATATTCTGCAGCCGAAAGGTACCGGAAAATAAAATTTAAGTAAAGTGAAGCGATGCGTCAATTTTAGAAAGATCATACTTCAGTGAGAAAAGAAGTATTTTATAACATTCATGTTGAATTTGTACAACCATGAAACTAGTTAGGCGAATTAAAATATATTAAAATGAATTATAGATAAAGTCCTAAATCAAAGAGACGATTTATCACCATTGTTGCTGAGCTTCGCTTTAAAATACGCCATAAAGAAAGACCAGGGAAATTACGAGTCGCAATTTATCGGCTGATCAGTCCGTTAGCCTGTAAATCATCCGACCAGCTTGTTATCCTGTCCGTTGCTTGAACTGTTTGTTAGTCCGTAAGTCAGGCGATCGATATGTTCGTTTGTTAGCCAGCCGACCGGTCTATTTGCTTCTGAGTTATTCAGCCTTCTGCAGACACAAAAGCAGTGCGAGCAGATGGAGATGTTTCCGATAGCCGCCTCTCCCCGCCTCCTCTCGCTCGGCGCTCATGTTTTTGTGTTCTACTTGCCGTCGAAAAACATGGCGCTCGGAAAACAATTGCCGCCTAGACGTTTCATTTGAGGCCTCTGAAACTTCCAACTTGCAATGAGAATGATATGTAGCGTTCGCACCATTGAAATGAGCTATGTGGTAGATGGAATACAAGATTAATGTACACCACATTGTAAAATACTCCTGTATTTCTGTATTTCTATACGTAGTTAATGTGTTTGCTGAATCAACAATGCTGCTGATTTAAACTCTAAAAGACCCTGGTTCGAGTCTTGGTCTAGACATCTATTATACTCGTTCAAGCTTTTCGTGGATGTTATCTCAACTAAATATCTTGTAATAGTTCTATAATTCATGATGTTAAAGAATATTGTAGAGAAATCATACCTATCTCCGGATTATATAAAAGAAAAGTAATTTTATTACATAAGTTGTACTGCAAAAATGATGATACTGCAAACGATAGTTGAATTGTAGATTCAAATGGGTTCTGGAAGCATTATTGTGGCTGAGCAGAATTTAAGAGATTAAAATAGAGTAACTTAATTTACTGTTAAATGTTTTGCCTTCCTGTAATATGTAGTCCTGTCGTTGAGTAGTGTGAATCTGGCCTCTATTGGCTACATAAAAACATCGACGGTTTATATATAAAGGTACAAAGCGACAAATAAAACCTATTCAGAATTACTGATAGAGATCAGTTATTCATAGAAGTTGCAACGGAACAGCTGGTAAGGAAAGCAACAAAGCTTTATCAACAGCACTACAAAAGTTACCATTAAATTAATTTCAAAACTATAAATAAATGTTTGTTTTATTTTTTCCTTCGTCTCTCATGATTATTTATCAAAAGTGTATACATTTGATAAATCATAATTGCTATAAATCTTGATAATCTTGCCCATCTTCATTTAATTACCCTGCCCATTATATAATTAACGAAATTTCTGTGTTACATCACACATTAACATTTGAAATATTTAATTGGTAATGGTGATTTTATGTGCCAGCTTCTTAACAGTCAGTAACACTGCTGAGTTTCGTACGGTTCTCACTGTAAACAGGGATTATTTTCTTAAATAACTTTAACCAGCTGATCTTTGAAATGATAAGGTATTTTCTTTGCTTACGGATTAAATTTTTAAATATTATTTAGACGAGCCTTGACTCAAAGGGTTTTAGACGCTTTTTAAATTGTTGAGTGGTAGACTGATCTGCATGATTCATTAATTGAAAATGATGTGGAAGGACGCGATATTAGCGTATTTTAATTTACAATCACCATGTTTGCGTTCACAGATTGAAAAATACCACATAAAATCTCAGCCGTTGAAGCTGTTCTTCGAGAATCTTACCTTAGACTTTATTAATACGCTGGTTTTTGTTTAAAGGCATCCTTTCCTTTAGTATATTCCTTCGGTAAAATTTGATACGAATTATTCAAAATTCATAGATAGTTTGCTTTACTCTTGAGGGATGTCGTAACACGTTTTATTCAACGATTTTACCAAACACTATACAAATACAGAAAAGAAGAATCAATACATCTAAACGACATAGCTGGTACATAACACAGAATTTCGCCATAAGAATCAGCGTAAAAGCTTAAAATATTCGGTAATCTCTTTATGCTGTGACAGTGGAAATCCTTGGTGCTGCATTACCACATATGTACCTACTTAGGCGTCCAGTATTTAAGCACGCGTTGTGAAGCGCAAAGAGGAGCCTACCATCACGACCGCTCAAGACAAACACCAAAGGACTGCGGTCGGTTGAAATTCAAGTGATCTCGAAAATGCTTCCGATGGCAGTGACAGAGAGGCCCGGAACTAAACGTGAAGTTGATCCTGCGTGCACCACGACGTGAAGATTTAACGGTATCGTTGAGATAAATCTATAGCCTTCGTATTTTCTGGTATTAGGTGGAGAATTGTAAGCTAAGCTACTAGAAGTTTGTAATACATGCTAACCAAAGAAAATGACTGAATCCGACGAGCTCTTGTGAAAACGGTAATGAACATTCGGGTTGCATAAACAGCGGGAAATTCTTTGACTTGCTGAGCGACTATCAGCTAACATTAAACCAGCAATCCGACCGAGGAGGACTGATGATCAGGAGGCCACCTAGGCGACTACAAGATGTCATAACCCACAATATGACAATCCAAACACCTAAATAACAGTAACTGACAGGGAAAACAACAGACTACCTACAAATCTATACGAGGGAAGCATTGAGAATGGCTTTATAAAGTCGAAACGCATGTCAATTCTGAAAAGTCCATAGTAAAACTGTTGATGATTCATTTATCAAGTAAAAGAAATGTACAGCAAATGTCATTGTTAAAAACTTAATCAACAGCAGAGATGTTACACTGCACAGTCATAAAATTCTATGTTAGTAAACGTAATGATCAGAACAGATATTGAACTGCGTTATAAATTCATATGCTGGAAGCAACAGGTATTCTATACTGTACGAAGGCGTATACTGTTAGCAAGTATGTCCAAGACTGGAGAATCACACTGCACTGTCGTAAAATCTACTTTCGAAGAAGCTGGCAAACTGTAAAAATGCATCGACATAAATTATTTCTTTCCCTTTTTCTTTCCACAAAGCATCTCCTACATCGATTAAGGCTTTAAGTGAAACTTCTGATCTGTAATGAAAGTCATGTTTTCGTGCCCTTTGGATTTGAAACCTGACGTTTCTTCATTCATTTAACAACATTTTCTTAACTGCATACTTTATAGCTCGTTGAATGATTAATGGTGAATCGGGGTAACACGCCAAAGAACGAATTTGTAGTCTGTTTAAAGGCACTGGAGAGATGAAGAGGAAATTTAAATTTCATCTTCAAGTAATGTAGATGACAGAGTTGACATATGTGACATGTAATTATCCCCTTGAAAACTTTCGTGCAGATTATCAATACGAATTTAAATTTAAATCCGTTAAGTATTTTGGTTCAGACACCTATAATATGACTATTCCATTACGAATTCAGTCTATAAACTTCGCATA